GTGTGTGTGTGTGTGTGTGTGTGTGTGTGTGTGTGTGTGTGTGTGTGTGTGTGTGCGTGCGCGTGCGTGTGTTTCCTTATCATCCATGTGGTTATTAATACAACAGTGAGATAAAGAAGTCGCAGCATGTTCACATGCAGGATGAAGCGTTGCTGAAATGTTACTTTTGACTCGACAAGACAAATTGACCCTCGAGTTGTGGGTAAACTTGTACATGGGCACCAAGTAGGCGACTACAAATAAATAAATAAATGAATAAATAGATAAGTAGATAAATAAAAACAGCTCCATATATATTGATGTGAAAAAAAGCGGTTGTGATTGCAATTGGTTTTGATATCCTGCACATCAACATTTCACAAGTTTACACAATGACTTTTGTACACTTTTAAAGTTTCAAACAAGATACGATCATGTTGGAGAGAACGGAAGAGAAAGACAAGCGGATGCATCTGCGTCTGATGCAACAAATTAGAACAACAAATGCAAAAACAGACAAAGAAAAGAACAAGGATAAAGAAGAAGAACCGCACAAAGACCAACCAACAACTAGAAAACAAGAGCTACAAAAAAAACAAGAAAAAGAACACAAACATCATGAAGAAAGGATGCAAACACTAAAAACAGCAACGCCAACAAGAACAGGAAGAAAGACAGAACCACATCTACGACAAGAGCAAGTAGAATAAAGTACAACAATGAGAAGAAAACAAAGAACAAGAGGAACCACCTGTAGGTGTGAAAGTCAAGGCCCTGGGGCCAGATCTGGCCCGCCACATCATTTTTATGTGGCCCGCAAAAGCAAATCAAACATGGCACCTTCCATGATGCTTGCTAAAATATCAACCAAAAATTCTAAAATGTAATAAATAAGAGAGATATGGTCAGCATTTTCGTGTTGCCAAACACCCTCATTAGAGTAACTTAAACGGTATTCTTAACTTCCTTATGTGATGTCAATCATAATGGCCCTCCAAGGGAAACGGGAGCTGAAATGTGGCCCGCGACAAAAATGAGTCGGACACCCCTGACCTAAAACAACCAAACAAGAAGGAAGAAAAGGAAAACAGCCGGACAAATCTGTCAACAACTACAAGGAGATGAACAAGAAGAGAAAGCAGAACAACATCAAAAAGAGAAAGAAGAGAAAGAGAAAAATGATGAAAGTGTGGAGGTCAATATTGACAATCACGGAGGAGGACAAACAGGTCGCTTCCTGTCTACACGCACAGATCACATGACCCCCCCCCATCCCCCTTCCACCTTGGCCACAACCTTCACATTTTCTTTCTGTCCTTCCCAATATCTTCCGGTGGACTTTTTGTGATTGGACCCGCCCATGTCCAACCCCCCTCCCCCCACGCCCGCCCTCCTTCCCACTTCGGGAGTTGGCGGCGTCCCTCAGAACACATCAGGATCGCGGACTCTTCAGGCGGACTGCCTCGCACCCGTGCCCGCCATGGGGTCTTGAGAGCTGGTGGTGGGGGTCGAAGGGGGGAGGTGGCGAGGGGTCGTGAAGATGACGATGCTCCAGACCTCCACGCCTTTCTCCGTCACAGACATCCTAAAAGCGGGACAGGAGTACCCTTCGGTCCACATGGTCCACTACCACAGCCCCTCGCCATCCTCCTGCATGCTGGCCCGGGACAGCCCCCGGGTTCCCTCGGCCCCGGCGCCGCCATTCTTGGACCCCGGACGCATGGTGTTCCTCGGAGCCCCGGTGGAGGACGAGGGCGAGGAGGAAAACGGCACGGTGGACAACGGACCGACGGCAGACGAGTACTCCGGGACGCACCAGGGGGGCCTGCCGGGGCCCAAAGGGGAGGCCCCCAATAGCAAGGATCAGCAGGAGAGCAGTGAGTCTTCTTCTCCTTGCTTGACACATGGGCAGCATTTGACATGTGGGCCAGCGCATTCGTGCGGCCAAATATGTTGTACAATCCGGACTTTCCGCTTACAGATGGTAAAAAAACAAATCAGCGTTCAGGAATCGTGCTTGACATAAGGGTCACATTTGACACGTGGACACCGTCTGATGCTGCATGAGACCCACAGGCCAGCACATTCGCGTTTGAGAAAACGTTGAACGGAAAGGTCATCGATGGCCAAGTCCGGCCTCAAAGCGACTGAGCATTCCAGAACCGCACTTGACACAGGGGCAAATTTTGACACATGGGCCAGGACAATTGTACATGAAATAAAGTCAAACCTACATCTGATGTATACATTTGATTGCTTCTTGCACATATAGATGTTTATACAAAAACAAATAACAATAATAATGGAGGGTTCAAGAGCCCCATTTGACACATGGGCCAGTAAATGTATGCATGGACAATGTCAATTCTTATTTATATATCCAACTTAACAATACTCCCCAAAACAATTGAAGGTTAAAAATAAAGGTTTGCAGGTTTGAGTTGGCGTATTGAACGCATGGGCCACATTTGACCCATGGGCCATATTCAGTGACAGTGGAGAGCTCACATTTGGTTGCTCTTGATTTCCGTCAAGTGGGATTGTTGAGTCCTGCAAGAGTCTGGTTTGGAAAAAAAAAAAAAAGTGAACAAGCATCAAGTTAAAGTGTGCACTTTGCAATGGCAATAAACACCTCATTGTGAACAAAAATACAAGACGAAAAAAGTCAAAATCGATAAGAATCGACATTGAGAAGGTGCTGCGAGTTGTCAACGTATTTAAAATACGGGAAATGTAGAACAGAAACTCAGAAATTATTTGCTTTGGAAAACATAAGTCGCTATTTTTCAAAAAGTGTCACTGTCTATTTCATTAAAGTTCAATAAGCACGAATACACTGTAAAGTGGCAGGCAGTGAGAAGGTTATTATTATTATTATTATTATTATATAACTATTATAGCACATTCCTTACACTATTTTCGTCACGAATCTTTAAAAGGTTGGTGATGAGTTTGTGTGTTGTGTGTGGGTCTTTTTTTTTTTATTATATTTTAACACATTTGTGTTTTATTGCACTTTTCACACACTACGTATTTTTTGGGATACATTTTTAAACGAAATCGCTTTTTAAATGTTTTCAACCACAATATTGTGCTTTTTTATTTATTTATAGTTTTGAACTCACTTTTGTATTTTGATAAACTTTTAGACGTATGAAGGATATTCTGACACATTTTTAACCGTGGTGTATTTCATTCAAACATTTTTTACACGATTCTGCTTTTGTTTTTTTAACTTCACGACTGCACGTTTGTGTATATTAGTGGACCTACGTATTTTCACGGCACCGTTTTTTTTAAACATATGATTGTGTTATCATTATGATTATTTTGATGATACTAATTCCTGATTGTGCATTGGTCCAAAAGGCAAGCACTGGGAGGCTCCGTCGTCCCGGGCCGACGTCTCCTCGGAGGGCGTCCGGCCGAAGCCGCGCAGCCGCCGCAGGCCCCGCGTGCTGTTCTCGCAGGCTCAGGTGCTGGAGCTTGAGCGTCGCTTCAAGCAACAGCGCTACCTGTCAGCGCCCGAGCGGGAGCACCTGGCTTCGGCCCTCAAGCTCACCTCCAACCAGGTCAAGATCTGGTTCCAGAACCGCCGCTACAAGTGCAAACGGCAGCGACAAGACAGGACCCTGGAGGCGCTCGGGCCGCACCCCCAAGCCCCGCCGCCGCCGAGGCGTGTGGCCGTGCCGGTGCTCGTACGAGACGGGAAACCGTGCCTCGGCGGCGGAGGCTCGACTCACAGCTACCCGAGCGCCGCCTCGCCGTACGGATTCGCTGGGGGCTACTCGGCCTACGCGTACGGCGGCCCCGCGTATCACCAGAGCAACACGGGCTGCGCGTACGGCGGCCTGCCTGGGCCGGGGCCTACCTCGGCAGGCTGCCCCAACGCCTTCGTCAACTTGGGCGGACTGCAGGCACCCTCGGCGCAGCCCCACAACCACCAGGGGGGCATCCGGGCCTGGTAGTGGAGGGGGGACGGGGGGGGGGTGCGTTTATTCCTTCATTTACGGGGTGTGTGACGTCATACCTTTGGAGAGGTTGCGAGAGGACTGGTGGTGGATGCAAGTTTTGAAACACTTTTGTTGCTTTTTTTGTTGCTATGGTTGCAGAGACTTTCACGTGTATTCTAATAAATGAGAAAAAAAATGGACAAAATTGCAGTGGGTCAGTATATTGTCTTGACTACATCGTGGATGCTCAAGTTCGTCCGCAAGAGCCTGTTTTCGATGTCTCCCTCCTCCAACACACCTGATTCAAATGTTCACGTTCGTTATCAAGCTTCTGCAAAGCTTGATGATGAGATGATCATTTGAATCGGGTGCGTTGGAGGAGGAAATGTCTAAAACAGGGTGGATAGGGGCTCTCGAGAACCGGACTTGGAGATCCCAGACAATACAAATGCCGTTTTCGTTATTTTTGTCAATTTTGATTTTTTTTTTTGTAGTTTTATTGTTTCCATTTTGTTGCTTGGTAGTTTTAGGAGATTTATTTTTTGTTTTGTCACATTCTGTCTTCTTTTTATGTGAATTTGTTGTTTGCTTTGCTCATAAATGTTTTTTTTTTCATCAGATGTTTTTTTTTGTTGGTCAATTTGCTCTTTCCGTTTTCTCATCAAACTAAATTTCTTTCTGATCCCATTGTTTTTGTTAATAAATGTGTTGTTTTTTAGATGTGTTACTTTTCTTCAACAGTGAATTTGTAGTTTTACAATTTTTTTGTATAAAGCTTTATTGTTTTCATTTCATAGAACATTTGTTGTTTTCTTCTTATTCTAAAAACGAGATAACCCCTCACACTTGTCGCTCGCGGCCGTTTGTCCCGGTACCAGTTTGAGAAAAAAATACAGGAGGGAGTGGACAGCTCCATTTTGGGCTGCTCCATTGAGAAAGTGGCGCCATTTAAAAGCACCCCACAGCTAGAATTGGGAGGCGGGGGCGGGGGGAGAACATGCCCCTCAGCCCAAGAAAGACAAAGACAAGCTCGCACATTGACGCCCTCGTAATGTTCCCACCGTGGATGTGCACCACGTGCTTTTTGCCTTTTTGTTCCCGCCACTGTGAAGGTCCAAGGTGGTGGTGGGGCGGGTACCGGCGCAGGCACGGGGGCGGGCAGTCTAGTGGGGGTCTTGCTCGTGAATGAAGGGACATTATTGCTACAGATTGTACCATTTATCCCAGTGGAGAGGGAGGGAGTGGGTACAAGTGCGGGTTACAAGGGTCGCTTCATTATGTGGCTTTATGTTTTGTGGGGTTGTTCTCACAGCTAGCACTTCAATCTATTTAGTTCATTACAAAGGAGAATAAAAGCGACTTTAATTGGGCAAGTGAGGTCATTAACACGAGACCACAAGTTCCATTACTGAAAAAGCAAAGTGTTTTTATTTCCTTAATTGTTATGAAGGTATACTTTTTCATACATAGGTACGAATAATATATATGTACCGGTATATGAAAATACGGGTTGTTCTTTCGCACAGAATCGTATTGCTGCTACACCAGGAAAAACAAATACGTATGTACATATAAAATAAAACATATAGACTTTAAAAACTTTCACTTCCGGTTTAGAATGCTGGCAGCGTCCTCTTGTGTCTTAGAAATCAAAGTATACATAAAAATACTGGAACTGAAAATAAACACTTTCAATAAAACCGTAAAAATAAAAAAAAGGCCAGGTATTTAATAATATTTTATATTTAAAAAGAAGACATGCACACGAATCTGAACCGGAAGTGCTTCGATTTGTTTTGCCGAATATGGCAGTTAAACATATTTATCACGTAATAAAGACACGTTTGACTTTTTATTGCTCGTGTGGCAGCAGTTCGCTTTCCTACTTGTGTTGTGTCATCGAATATTTGGTTCTGTTGGTGTATTCCTTTACTTTTTTGTGTTTATTTTCCCTCTAGCGAAATGTGTTGTAGATCCTTTTTTTGCAGTTTTGTTTGCTTTACGAGTTGGTTCTATTTTGTTTTATTTCTGTGTATTGTCCATTTTCATTGGTTTTCTGTCTTATTTTTCTATTTAGGACATTTTCCTTTCATTTGAGTCTTTTGTTTTATGTTTTTTGTGCTGTTGCTTCTTTATGGCTCTTTGATTTTTGTGTATTTATTTTTTCATAGGAAATTTGTTTTATGGTGGGATTTTGTTTGTTTTATTTTTTGAGTGCATTCTGCACTTCATTTTTGAGAAAATTAAAAAATATAGGTTTGCTGTTTTTAAATGTCTTTTTGGTGTACTGTTTTTTTCGTAGATGTTTTCCTTTCATAGTGTTTCGTTTCTTTAGTGTATGGTAGATTTAGCGAGTTCATTTTCATGTTTTTTTTTCTTGACTCATTTAGATTTTTGCAGCACACCTTGTTTTTCCACAATCGGTGATTTGAGAAGTAAACAAAAGCAAAATGATTCTAAGAAGATGAAAAGACGACGAAAAAGTAGTGTTGTTGCAGTCGGTGATACTTTGGCAGCAGGTCAATTCATGAGGCTGCTCAGTGCTCATTAGTCACGAACAAGCATGTGCAGCTCAATTATTAACACACTAAGGGCTGATAATTAGTGCATCACTTATTGATTATTCCCCTAAACTGGTAAACCTCCAGAACTTCAGCATTGTTTTTTTTTTTGTCCTTAAAATAACTTGCCACATGTTATTGAATTGGAATGTGATTGGTTCAAGAAACATCGTCGCTGCGAATTGAATTCGGATCGTGAAGGCTCCTGGCAGATTAGATTGCCATAACAACACATAGAGACTGAAATCTGATTGGACAAAAAAGTCCACAAGAGAAACGCCACAAAAGGACAAAATGAAGAGAATAGACTGTTGGGAGTAATTCAATACAGTCTCGTTGAACAAATATGAGAATTCGGAATCGTAAATGTAGCCCAGTGGCCGGAGTTCTGCTCATCGTCGTCTAACTGCGCTCTCACGTCAGACTTCCTGACGGCGGGCTAAAAAGATTTCAGCGCAGCCCGGAATGTTTGGGGAAACGCTTCTTCTTGTCGTCGGTGGTGGGCGAGCGTCCCGGCCGGCAGCCAACAGACGTTCTCGGCCCGTCCGTCAACCTTCTGTAAATATTTGGAGGCCGGCGTCCACATTTAATCGCGTAAGTGGGGCGAAAAGCGTCACGTTTTCTGGGAACGGGCAAACGGCGCTTATCTGAGGGCTAGGCGAGCCGCCCACATTCATCCTCTGTGACAGGGCACGGCAAAACAGACGTAAATTTTCACGCGTGGTTTCTCTGGAAGACGTTTCGAGTCGTTTATCGGACGCAGCTGCAGAGCGCCCCCTCCAAAAGTATTTAAAAAAAAAACAACAGCAGCAGCTAATCGCAAATGAAACTTGCAAAAGTGATACAAGACGTTCAAAATGTACCCGGCAGATTTGATAAAGTTGCACAAAAATCTAGATGACATTTTTGTTTGTTCGCCAAGTAATATTGTGAAAAATGATTTTTTTTGTTTGTTTGTTTGTTCACAAGTTTACACAAAAACTACAAGAGGGACATGTATTTGCTGGTTTACTTGTAAACTACAAAAGGGATTTTTGTGTTTTCAGGGTTATGTGACCCCCCCTTACCCCCCAAAAAGAAAAAAAACTACGAAAGTGTTTTTTTCTGCTAGCAGGCTTATTTTTTAGTTAATTGGTTTACATAAAACACTACACAACAATTCTACGTGGAAAACGAAGTACCTTTTTTGCGTTAGTTAGGTTTTGAGACTTGTGGTTTTGGCATAAAAATGGTCATGTAAAAATGCTACAAAAGTCATTTTCATCCTAGCAAGATTGCGTGAAAAAATATAATTCCAAATTTTGTTCGCAGTGTCATGAGGCCGCCACAATTTTGATCTTTCTTTTTTGTGTAAACATGTAGAGGAAAAACTACAAAATGAAAATTTGAGCATTAGCAGGATAACATGAACAACTACAAAAGCTATTTGTGGTTTGTTCGCAGGATTACTCAAAAACTGGACAGGTTTTATTATTTGGCAGGGTGACACAGCAATTACACAACCAACACACCAACTTTTTTTGGTCTTCTTTGTTAGCAGGATAACTAGCATTTGTTTTCTTGGTTCCGTTTTTGGATGATGTACAAGACTAAACCTAAAAAAACATTTTTTTTCACTGCAACCCTACAACATACCCGATTGTCTTATAGTTCTCAGTTGTTTGCTGTACTGGTCTGCAGCAATAACGTTCAGAGAAAGAGAAGAAAGGGAAAAAAGAAAGATGATCCGACATGTTGGACAGGGAGGTCACGCACTTCCTGTACAGGTCAAAGTCAGGTGCGTGACATGCCAGACAAACGAGAACATGCACACACACACACACACACACACACACACACACACACACACACACACACACACACACACACACACACACACACACACACACGAAAGGGTGGACAACTTTTTGACAAATGGTTTTTGCAGTTAGTATAGCGGAACACTTGTACATGTTTCGATCCACGCCCGCAGCCTCCACTTTACAAGTAATGATTCATGCTAAAGCTAACATTCATCATCGTTCTTCCAGCGACTGCCACACACCCACGTTTTAAAGAACTCCCCTGAACTATGGTTGAGTGATTGACAATTTATTAAAATTAGTCAATTTGACAGAACGATTTCTTCTAGAATGAAAAGTTAGCTCAAATCCTGTAAGGAGTTATCATGCTTGGTTTTGAAAATTTCTTATAATTTGTAACATACATTACAAGTCCCGTCAATGTTAAAAAAAAGAAGCAAAACTTGGGGATTACATCTCTTTGGTGCATAGCGCCACCTACTGTGCAAAGGAACTTTGTAAGCTACATTTTTATCGTCTTGTATTCAATCACATTCAAGCTTCTTGTCCTTGTTTGCCAAATTATGGTGACAAGTGTAATGCATTATGACACCTCGTTTACCATACCGGTTAAAAATCTGGTAGTGCGTTTGTGAAAAGAGTTCATTGTCAACATGCTGCATCCGGGTTTAAACCAATAGACGGATGTTTGCTTTGTGTGATCGTAGGAAGCAGCAGAGAATTCTGGGTAAAGTAATTTTCAAAACAATTATTTTCAGGCAGAACCCCTGAAGTGCAAAAACGGTTCCGACAACAACTACAGTACAAAAAAAAACAATTTAACGGTAAGAATCGAGGCACTTCCGGTCATGCACGTGAAACTCTGGCATGTTTAGTGCTACAGCAGCGTCCTCGGCTGATCACATGTGAGTACTACAACAACATAAACCCAATTTATTCCGCGCATTTTCAACACAAAATTTCAAATCAAACCCGGTGTTGGGCCCTAAACATGGTTGGTTGCATCCGCCCACAAAATAATCAAGGCTTTAGATTCTATCATTGAGTCCCCCTCCCTTACATTGGGCTCAGCCGTACGATTTTGTTTTTGCATGTCAGTAAAATTAGAAAAGCATGTGATAGAAAAATCCGTTTTCGGTGAGGTAGTTCGGTTCAAAGAGAGAAACTCAAAACACGTGGTAAAATACTTTTCTGAAGGCCACCTTAATTTAGTAAAAAATATTTAGATTGTCTATTTAGACGTTCCGGTTCGACTTGTTTTTCTTTCTGGATTCACGTAGCCTTTGTGAGTGGCCCGTTCGAAAAAGTCCGACGTGAAGAGGATGTAATACTCATTTGCGGAGATGGTAAATGTGATAATTTCGTTTTCACTTTCTGGACTTGCATTTCAACATCTCTGCTATAAACTGAAAATACATTGAAAGGGTGACAAAGCGGACAAAGTACGGTAATCCCTCGTTTCTCGCGGTGAATGGGGACCGAAATCACCCGCGAAAAACGAAAGTCGGCGAGGTAGTGAACATCCCCGGAATAGGTATATGTACATGTGTATGAGTATAAAAAGTATTTATAAGGCCAAATTAATGGTATACATGCATGTAGAAGTAAATGTTTGGAGTAATTAACATTACTTAATGCTATATGCTAATATATTTAAACATGTATAAATTAGGTTAGTTTGAATAACAAATTACAGTAAACATATACATTTAATACTGTATATTTTGCTCTATGTGACTCACTGTTGTTTTGCTGACTTTAGCTGCCTCTCATGGACCTTTTGCCTTTTATTTTTTTTATGATTGAAAAAATCCACGATAAACGAACCGCGAAATATCTCTGTAGAAGGGGGGAAAAAAAAGACGTGGACTACCGTTGGTTTGTTTCAGTGCACCACCAAGAGAAGACCCTGCTTCTGCGAGGAGCTGCCTTTTGCCACTTTATTAACAAGCAAACAAAAATAGATCTGAAGTCGATTTTGTTTTCCTTCCACACAGTAGAGTTATCTCTCGCACACTGTTGTTGTCATTCTCTTTGGTTTTCAAAGTAGAACAAAATCTTCCCGGAGCGCAGCCCCAGGAAATGGTAAGTTAGCTTGATGCTAATACACGTATGTATGTAGGCATGAGTATATTCACACAAAAACACAAACATAAATTAATACAATATAAAGACTGCTTGTATGGCTTCCATGAGGAGCAGTTTACCTTGTGCGTTTGGATTTGAAGCGGCTGGCTGAAGGCAAGCCTGACACCAGGAGTCCTATTTGGCGGTTAGCAAGAGATGTCAATAAAACATGAGCTACTTCAATTTAGAAGGTCAAAGTAATAACGTCTCAAGGACACCTGAAAGACGGGTAACGGTAATTTACAAAGCATTTTTGCAAATGGAGGAGGAAAGTAGTGTCAAAGTCTAGAATCTTTCAAGAATATTCATGAAAAAAATAAAAAGGATCCCGTAGCCACTTTCATTTAGCAACATGAACTCGGGAGGACATGTCTCACATAACAGAACTGAACAAAAAGTCTCAAGGAGCAATTTCCCAAACTCAACACAAAGCCGACCAATCGTTTAGAAGCGGGCATAATGCATTATGTCTGAATTTGAGGAGTTACATTTTGATAAACGATGACACGGAAGATTCAATGAAATGCAAAATAGGCGATGGGAAATGCTAATTTGTGAAGGGAGAAATAAAAATCCTGGATGCTTGTTTTTAATTAATATTGTTGATGGAATTCAATAGTGATATTAATCAAATAAATTAAAATTCAAGCTAACAGTAGCATGTTTGCTGTCGCTTTTTTAAAAATGTAGCAAGACTGAATCTTCAGTGGATTACCATTGGAAAATTTCAGGAAAATCGATTAAGAATAAATTATTTTGCTGACAGCTCGCACTTCACATCTCATGAGTGCCACAACATGATTCGTGTTTGTCGCCATCTGCTGGCCAACTCTTTCAACAGGAGGAGGCCCTTTTCATCCAAACATTCTTCTTGCGCTGGCGACCGGCTCACTTGCCGGCGGCCCCCCGTAGGCGCCTCTCGTGCTGTCGCTTGGTGATGACGTACTTGAAGAACTCGTAGACGGACCAACTGATGGCAGTGGAGGGCATCTGGTAAATGACGCGGGCCTGCACACCTTTGAAGAAGGCCGCTGCGCCCCCCGCGCGGTAAACCGTCCGAAAGGCCTCGCCCAGCCCGGATATGTGACGCACAGCTGGCGCGCTGCCCACGTCCGCCTGGAGGACGTGCGCGACCGCCGCCTCTTGCGTGTTGAGCAACGTCTTGCAGACGTCGAGCGGCGTGGTGACGGCGGCGGCCAATGCGCCGGCCAGCGCCCCCGACAGCATGTGCGAGGTGGGATGGTAGTGTCTGTGCGGGTTGAGCACCTCCTGCAGGTACTCGTAGGTCATAAAGTGGAGGGCCTGGAAGGGCGCGTTCATGGTCAGCTGCGTGGTGTAGCTGCGGTAGAAGGCTGCCGGACCCTCCTGCCGCAGCGTGGTGCCCACGCAGTCCAGCACGCCGCGGTACGGCGAGCCGAACATCTGGATGCGCTGCTTCACCACTGTCAGACAAACGGGATGGAAATGTGTCCATTAAATCAGCAATTCGAATCGCTGACAATTTGACTATGGTTCAATAAATCGGCGGCCCGGTGGTCCAGTGGTTGGTGCGTCGACCTCACAATGCAGAGGCCGTGAGTTCGATCCCAGCACCAGCCTTCCTGTGTGTGGAGTTTGCATGTTCTCCCCGGGCCCGCGTGGGTTTTCTCCGGGTACTCCGGTTTCCTCCCACATTCCAAAAATATGCATGGCAGGATGATTGAACACTCCAAATTGTCTCGAGGTGTGAGCGTGAGCGTGGATGGTTGTTCGTCTCTGTGTGCCCTCCGATTGGCTAACAATCGGTTCAGCGTGTCCCCCGCCTACTGCCCGAAGATGGCTGGGATAGGCTCCAGCACCCCCCCCCCTCGCTCCTCCTTGTGAGGATAAAGCAGATCAGAAAATGGATGGATGGATGGATGGTTCAACAAATATTTTTTGTTGTTGTTGGCCGATTCTGAAATTTGGCAGAAAAATGGGGTGTTTATTCTCTTTTAAAAATAAATAAATAAATAAAATAAATAATAAATTAATTAATTTATATATCTATATATATTGATGTATAAAAGTAATCGAATAATTTTCCTAATGTCCTTTAATGCTGACAAAAAATATTGTGGGTCTTCCCAATAGAGAGGAATTTTCATGTACAAATACATGCATTTAAAAAAAAAATTACAACTTCTGCCGACTATTATTTTAAAAAGACCTCATAGGAGCCGATTCATCGGTCCGTCCCGATAATTTACATCGGTAGGAAAAAGTACATTCACCGTTTCCAATTTCACCGTATGTGTCCGTTTACCTTCAGCTGGGTTCATTATGGCGTCATGGATGACAGTGGCCATGCAACCGGCAACCCCTGCACAAAATCACACATTACAATCACACGCACGCTAACACGCACAAAGACGAACAGGACACACACTCACACACACACTGCAACACTGACCATTGGCAAAGTGGCTGTTGGCGCCGGGGTGGATGGCGTTGCTCAGCGTGAACTTGATGCGCTCGTAGGAGGCGAAGTAGAGCGCGTGGGCGGGACCGGCGCCCATCGCCAGCACGTTGATGCCGCGGATTGGTCGCCAGAGGCCCTCCGTGCGCACGATCTGTCGCAGGGCGTCCACCACGTTGCGGTAGCGCGCCTTCGGCTCGGGCCGCAAGCTCTGCATGCGAGTCTAGTGCGGGGGAAAGACAATTTGACCAATTATGAGCGATGCTTTCACAAATGAGTCACCACCCGAGGGGAAGGAAAAATATTCAACTTGAGAGCGGCTCTGCAGTGACGTCGGAAGGCTGGCGGAGCGATTTCAGAGTGCTAACAGCAATAGGCCAACATGCGGGAAAAAGGCGCTTACTTCCTGCTAAGCCGCTACGCTAGCATTTCCAAATATG